AAACAGCCAGCATAAAGCCAGTTTAAGAATCACAGTATCAGGAGTGCATAATTTAGAGAACCTAATGGATGGGATATGCAGCCTCGATTGCTCACTTTGCATACCTATCTTCTTTAATCCCAACTGGAGAAAGTCAGGAGAACAAGAAATATATATATATATCTTAAAATAAAAGTTAAAAATAGGTTGCTATTTTAGAGGATTTTCTTTTTTTTTTCTCTTTACCTTGTAGAAGAACACCCCATACACTGTAGAAGCAGAGAAGTGCACTTGGCTTTAAGATCATGGTTAGGAAGGATGCAGAAGAAGACAGGTGCAGAAGAGCTGCTGCCCCTTGCAGGTGAGGAGGGCAGAGAAGAAGGAAAAGGGGGTGAGGGTTGGGGGTGAGGGGGGGCAAGACCACAAAGCCCCAGTCAATCAGGACAGGAGAACCCCCTGGTTTTATCCAAGTCTGGAGGGGGAGGTGAAGTTTCTTCTTCTTGCAGTGGATCAAGCAGTACCCAGAAGCTATCACAGGCTGTTAGATGCCCTCCTTGCAGTGTGGGAGCTGTTCACAGTCAGGGTGCTCTCCAGGCATTGATGGTATGGGGAGGTTAGGAGAGGTTTTCCTGTAAAGCTAAGGGTGACAGCAGTTAAAGGTCCCTGGATGGATGCAGGCTGCCCGGTGTCGTGCTAAAGTTGTTTCCCTGTAAAGATGTGTTACCACATATCTCCGATCCAGCACACAGGCTGTGTGAGGCTGTGTGAGCAGTGAGGGTGGAGGGAGGGAGGTGGGCCAGGAGATGGGAGGAGGAGTGTGGCTGCTGAAAGTCCTGAAAGGTCAATAAATCATTCCTGCTTATCTCCCCTGCACATACAAACCTTAACCCTTTCTCCTGCGAAAGCCAGAGAGTCCCACTGCTGTCCCTTACAATCCATAAAAATCAAGTCTGCTTTTATTTCCCCCAAGCACATATTAATTATCAGTCTGCTCTCATCTACTATTCTTTTATTACCACCTTCAAATAAAACATTTCCCCTCCTCATATACTCTTATTATATAATGTGCATTCATTAACCCTTTCAGTCCCCAGACATCACTCCCTTTGAGCATCTCCATGGGACTAAAATGTTTATTTCATGATCACTTCACATGACATCTCTTGGGACTGAAAGGGTTAGTAAATGCACTCGTTCACGTATGTGTGACTTTATTAACCCTTTCGGTCCCACAGGAATTACCACATTTTATCATCTCTTGGGGCTGATAGTATATACACTCTTTCACTTAGGTGGGACATTATTAACCCTTTCAGTCCCACAGGAATTACCAAATTTTATCATCTCTTGGGAGTGAAAGGGGTTAGAATATACACTTTTTCTTAGGTGTGATTTTTTTTTAGCCCTTTCAGTCCCACACACTTTTGATATGTGTGTTTATTAACCATTTCTATGTGTCTATACACAATGTATAAATATTTATATACGCAATGAATTGCCTGTTCTTTCAAATGGTGCCACACACAGAGTGCATGTATAGCTGGGTGTCCTAAAATGCTGTGTTACAGGTAATGCATTACAATATATTCACACAGTGATGTATTACCTGTAATTTGCATTATCCCTCTTCTGCCAACAATATTACATACCTATACCTACCTATAGCCATTGTATACACAGAGTGCATGAGAGGCTATGTGGCCTTATCTGTTTTTGGAACCTCAAGGAAACTAAAATTACAGGTAACACATTATTACAATATATTCACGTGTAGATGTTTTACCTTTAATTTTGTATTACCTGTATTTAGGGTTACCAGATCCACCATGTTTTTAGGGACACATATAATTTTATTGTATTTATGAAAATGCACAAAAAGAGTTGCCCTGCAGTATGTATAATGCATATTCTTCTGGATTCTTCGTTGTCTTATTACTTAATCTTACACATCTTCTGAATTCTACATACTACAGGAAATGTTTTTCATGTGCTGCCTATCAATATGTATACGTAATATGTGGCACTGAAAACATGGGGGATCTGGTAACCCTGACTACACTAAACAAAATTAGAAACGCAACACTTTTGTTTTTGCCCCCATTTTTCATGAGCTGAACTCAAAGATCTAAGACTTTTTCTATGTTCACAAAAGGCCTACTTCTCTCAAATATTGTTCACAAATCTGTCTAAATCTGTGTTAGTGAGCACCTCTTCTTTGCCGGTATAATCCATACACCTCACAGGTGTGGCATATCAAGATGCTGATTAGACAGCATGATTATTGCACAGGTGTGCCTTAAGCTGGCCACAATAAAAAGCCTCAATAAAATATGCAGTTTACCTGTATTGGGTGGGTCCGGAGGGTCCAAAAACTGGTCAGTATCTGGTGTGACCACCATTTGCCTCACACAGTGCAACACATCTCCTTCACATAGAGGTTGTTGATTGTAGCCTGTGGAATGTTGGTCCACTCCTCTTCAATGGCTGTGCAAAGTTGTTGGACATTGGCAGGACCTGGAACATGCTGTCGTATACGCCGATCCAGAGCATCCCAAACATGATCAATATATGCCTGCCCATACCATAACCCCACCGCCACCATGGGCCACTTGATCCACAACATTGACATCAACAAACTGCTCACCCACACAACGCCATACACGCTGTCTGCCATCTGCACTGCACAGTGAAAACCAGGATTCATCCATGAAGAGAACACCTCTCCAAAGTGCCAGATGCCATCGAATGTGAGCATTTGCCTACTCAAGTCAGTTACGATGACGAACTGCAGTCAGGTCGAGACCCTGATGAGGACGTCAAGCATGGAGATGAGCTTCCCTGAGACGGTTTCTGACAATTTGTGCAGAAATTATTTAATTATGCCAAACGATTGTTGCAGCAGCTGTCCAGGTAGCTTTTCTCAGACGAACTTGGAGGTGAAGATGCTAGATGTGGAGGTCCTTGGCTGGTGTGGTTACGCTTGGGCTGCGGTTGTAAGGACGGTTAGATGTACTGCCAAATTCTCTGAAATGCCTTTGGAGACGCCTTTTGGAGAGAACTAAACATTCAATTCACGGGCAGCAGCTCTGGTGGACATTCCTGCAGTCAGCATGCCAATTGCACGCTCCCTCAAAACTTGCGACATCTGTGGAATTGAGCTGTGTGATAAAACTGCACATTTTAGAGTGGCCAGCCTAAGAAAAAGCCCCGGTAGGGTCAAAACGTCGGTCGATTTCTGTATACATCCTATGTATTAATAAAGCACTATTTTTCACCTATATGAAGACCTGTGAGTGCATCCCGTTTTTTATTTTTATATATATATTTTGTATATACAGGGCTAAATATTTCCATCACCACTAGCTTTTGGTGAGTAGAAATTCATCCCTGGTGAGTCAGCCACCCAGGCTTGTATAAAGTAACTTTTAAGGCCTGACTAGTACAGTAACACTTGAACAATTAAACCCTGTTTAAATACATGAATACATAAAAGAGCTAATAATAACACATTTCATGAAAAGTATGTATATATTAATATTATAATTTCCAAAGATGTCACGTGAGGTGGTTATGTATTAACCCTTTTAGTACCGTGGGCGTGATAAAATTTATTTATTCCTGTGGAACCGAAAATGTGTTATTAAAGGCATATATCAGTGAAAGTTTGGACATATTAACTCTTTCGGTCCCTTATTTGTAATGTGATGAGTTGGACATGTACTAACCCCTTCGGATCCATGAGGAGGGTGAAATTACATTCACATTGTAAAATAACATTCACATTAAAATTACCTTATATTATAATGATATTATTATTATTATCTTATTATGTGAGGAAGGAACATATTTTACTCGCAGGTGGCGATAATGGAGCATACTGTTATTACATGTGTGTAGATAAATGCAGACTTTTTGTTTGTTTTTTATTGAATTTAGGTAACATTAAAAAGTCTACCTGCTTTTTGCAGCAAAAAGAGATAAGGTTTTTACATGAAGAGGAGATAAGAATGGATGATTTATTGACCTTTCAGGACTTTTGGCAGACACACTCAGCCTCTCTTCTCCTCACACTGCCTGCATGTGTGTGTGTGTGTGTGTGTGTGTGAGAGAGAGTGTCTGTGTGTGTGGAAACACATATTTACAGG